TTGCACTTCGCCGCAAATACACGTATATTCCGTGTGAATTGGGGCAGCAAGGCGCAGAGCCACTGCAATACGGAGGGTCTTAGGGTCGAGGGCGTTCCCATTGCCCATATGGGAAAATGTTTGGAGGAAGTCTCTAGAGTGATGTGCACCCACAAACCTGGAGCCGGGCAGTCTCCCTGTCTAATGTTACAGCCCTGAGCATATTGGCAAGCACCTTTTCGGCGATAGAGCCATCCCAGCTTGACTGTTTGTGAGCCAGTGCTGCACTAGGGTTTGGTGCTGGAGCAGCAAGAGTCTCCTCCCATTCAATGATGGCACTAGTATAGGTAGGGTCCTGTATTCCTGCTGAGTCACTGAGCTTATCAGGAAGAATCTGACTTATTAACTCGTTTGATGCTATGGAAGAAGATAGGAAAGCTGGTAGAGCAATCTGGGAGGACCTGCGTACTCCAAGCCCCCCAAGCCTGACCGGAAGTGAGGCTTGCAACCACTGTCCATCTTCCAGGGAAAGATTCAGTACACTCTCTAGCATGATTTTAAGGAGAGAGAGTCATATTCCTTGAGTTTCGGACTGCTGAAGGCTGGGGAGCATCTCAGAAAGTAGGTAAATTTTGGGATTGACAGGCACCTGGTGAGTAGGTAGAAGGCATCATGTATATCAATGTCTTTCATCCTGCCTTCCATCGTTCAGAGGTCTGAGATCGTTTTTTCTAGGATCAGATCGATTGCATTGAACCAAGAAGAATGCCAAGGAAAGTGCTATTGGCTGGATCAATGGCTCGTGCTCCTGGTAAAATAGCACTAATATTCTGGATCATCTGTCGATTGGTAGAAACTATTTCACATTTGGTGGGGTTTAAAGAAAGGCCCAGGCTTTCTCCCATGTCTTTAATTTTTCTGATGCCTTCTAGGAGAGATTCTGTTGTGCCAGCTAGGGTACCATCATCCAAGAACCAGATATTGAGCTCACTGGAGAGTGCTTCTGTGACTTCCTTGATGACCAAACAGAATAGAAAGGGGGCAAGAGGGTCCCCCTGTTACACACCCTCACATGAGTCAATTTCATGGTCCCTAAACAATAGTTTGGAAGTCACACTATAACACGAGTCTATGAAGGGATAAAGTGAAATGAAGTTTCTATAAACTGCCTGGAGAGCACCATCCCTTCTGACTGAGTTGAAAGCGTTGGCAAAGTCCAATTTGACCAAGGCTCTTTCATCGGACGTGTTGTTGATGTATACTTGTGCTGCTGGGCAGCTGCTTTACAGCCTTGTTGATCACCAAAACCGAGTTGAGTTGGCTTCAGCATTGCAGCAGCCTCTTGACTCACCCTTCTTACTGCAGCCTTGGCAACTAGGCGCCGAAGGGTGTTGCCCACTGCAATGGGCCTGATTCCGCCATCCTTTTTCCGGAGGGCACACAATGAGGCACCAAAGAAAAGGGGCGTAAGGGCCCTTTCTGGGACACTGCCAGCGGGCACCAGGCTGGAAAATTTGGTGAGTTCAGACAGCAGCCTCTCTGAAACATCACCAAGTGTTGGATTGAGCATTTGTTTTAATTTGTTGAGGCTTAAACCGGTGAAACCTCCTGCTAAGCAGCCCTGTGGAAATGACATAGCAGCTTTATACACATCAGCATCCTGTAAGGTTAGATGTTCTTCACCTGCTGCAATGTCAGGGAGGTCAATGTTGGTACTGGGAGCCCTGGGTGGATGTTTGTCCTTCAGAGCCTCAGAACTCCGATAGTATTACCCTCTTCTACTTTTTTGCTAATTTGGGCTCTGATTTTTGAGGCGTCGGGTGTCCTGTTGTTGGCATTTGCCCGGCGGGTGTTTGTCGCCCTAGGAGGGAGACGGACGAGGTTGTCATCCCTCGGGAATGCATTTGTTGCCCTGTGCCTGGTGGCCTGGTGGTTAACGCTCGTCGCTTCACACGGTGAGGGCCTGGTTCGATTCCAGCCAGAGTAGAAACATTGGACGTGTTTCTTTCCATGTTGTCTATGTTCCCCACAGTAAAATGGGTACCTGGGTGTTAGTCGACTGGTGTGGGTCGCATCCTGGACACTGACTAAGGAGCCTGGTCACAGACGGGCGCGGGGGCGTTGAACCCCGGAACTTCTCCAATAAACTCAGATAAATCCAGATAACATGTATATATATATGTATATATATATATATATATATATATATATATATATATATATATATATATATATATATTAAAATGTATATATATGTATTATATATATATATTATAATATATATATATATAATATATATAATAATATGATAAATGTGGCATCCATAATTCGTCTTCCACCTCATCCCTCTCTTTCGTTTATCATCTTGCCCTCTCTCTGGGATGATGGAGATATCGTCATAAAAAATCCCTTTCTCGTTTATAGGATTGGCTATTGTGAGAGATGGTAATTCCCAAGCGACAGTAACTCCAGCTCTTCCAGAAGGACACCTTTGGCGCTCCCGTAGCTGATGAATCCTTAC